ATCATATTATGTTTAGTTATAAATCAAGAACTGTATTGTTCGAATATAATTATTACAACTGTGCCAACTGGTAATTGGTAATCGTTGAGACAATAAACTGTAACATACAGACACGCAGACAGGCAAAAATGGGTAATTATGAAGGCTCCTGTTTATCATTTCTGATACAGAACCTTAACAACAATCTCTTTTTATTATTATTAGATATTAATACGGGACGTAGAGCAGGAAGTCACGTAACTTTTTGATGAGACCACGTATACAGTCTGTGTTGTTAATTACCTGTCGTCTATTGACCGGAAGCTGATGAGTAATCCGGAAACGTCGGTCGGTATACTTAAAAAGGTCAATTAATAACGATGGAGGTAAATAAAATCTTTAGGAGAGAACAATAAAAGAAAAACAATTTGAAATATAACAAATGATGCAGATATTTATTGATCAACTTAGTTTTTCATCTCTTTATCAGGCTCGTTTCTACATATAATCGAAATTCTTCGTGTTTTTATCACAGGGCTATTTTTAAAAATACTTTCGGAGTTCTTTAAAAGTTCGTGTTTATAATCGTATCTCGCGGAGTCTTTCATAATATACAGGGATCGTCGCGTTAAATGGACCTTTGCGATCAAATCTTTATATTTTTCGTGCACAAGTTTCATTACACTTTCTGTAAGAAGACTTAGACCTGCTATGGTATTCCCACAAAACTGAAACAAAAGAAAATTACTTTTCTTTTGTTTCAAACAACTGATATCAGAATCATGTCACACTTACTCTGACAGAGTCAATGTGCGGTTTTATCACCCCTTTCTCGTCTAAATCTAATATGTGTACAGTATCTAGCTGGGGAACCCCAGGAGGAAAGGCAACTTGTCGAACTCTACTTAAAATTTGTGTATTTGCTTCATTCCAATGCAATATTTCTGTTTCTCTGTATCCATGAATTGCCTAACAGAGTAAAACTATTCCAAAATATTAATCTTAATTGTGAAATACAGGGTGCTCCACTTTAGCTTGCCATTTGCATGCAGGATATAAGAAATTACTTAGTGTAGGGCACCCTGTATATACCTAAGTTAACTTTAACTTACGTCATCCCAGTGGTCAAATTGATAGCGTAAGGTCTTTAAACGGGGTTCAACTTGATCTAAAAGACTCTTCTCCTCTACCTCACTAAGAAAGTCCTTGTGTATTATCATACTATTTACAAAATCAGTTTTTATTTTGTCGTGATTACTGAATGCCTCTGATAACTCTAGGTAGGAAGGACATTCCTCTATAATTAAAAACAAAGTTAAAAGAGGGAAAAGTAAGAAAAACATGGTAACTTACCTTGAATTGCAGGTTTAACTGCAGAAAAACTTCTAACATTTTTGCTAATTATTCTTTTGGCAAAAAGGCCTACAGTTCTTCTGTACATAATAATTACGTTAAATAATTTATAATTATATAATAAATAGCGTACACTGTAATAATAAAATTAATAATCATTGGACATTTAAAGGTTATATTTTGACATTTGATCATAGATACATTTGATGTAAGTCATAGATAATAAATGTAAGTAAATCATAGATGAACACTATAGAAAATAAAACTATTTGTTTTCTAATCTCAATTATGTTAATTAAAAAATAAAATTTAATTGATATTTTCTTGTAATAGTTCATTTATGTATGACAATTACTTGAATTATTAAGCGACATATTAAAATAGTATATTATTCTTACTTAGGCAGGTTGAGAGATACAGTTACTTTTACTTCAGTCTATGATCATGTCTATGATTTAAAAACTTTTTGGCGGGTTTATTTGGCGGCAACAATTTTAACTGATTGCAAATAAGCTTCCTGAATTTTTTGTATTTCTTTAATTTACAAAAACAGTCATTGTGAAGTTTTATGGTGCCTGTAAAGTGCAGTTATAGATAAGTTTACAATGCATAGTTGTGTGTTTAATTAGGAAGATTAACAAGTTAAAAGTGTAATGCAAACAAGACTATACCAGATAAGGTTATATTAAAGTCACAACAGGTATTTAAATTTAACATGTTATTTAAATACCAAGTTACATTTAATTTCTACACAGGAACTACATGAATGTGAAATACAGTTATAATGGTGGAATGTGTAGATACTGAAGAAAGCCTTTCTAAAAGGCAAAAAATAATAGCTGCCCCTCATATCAAACAAGAAATACACATTGAAGAAGAGAATGTGAAGGTCGAAACGTGTAAAATTTGTCGACAACCCTTTAATGATGTAATAAATTATTTTGGACATCCAAACAATTCTGTGGAAGAATTTATTGCACTAACAGATGAACGTTTGATGCTCTTTACAGGCAATGAAGATGAGCTTGATGAGCTCGATGAGAGACCTGTACACAAGGTGAAACAGATTCAAACTTTCGATTATACGCCACTCATTAATTGTATAATTTGTAGCTTACTCACTTTAGTGTATATGACAAAAATGGACACCTTTGTCCCTTTGATTCTGGGCTTATTGAATCTGATGTGTTATTGTATGTTTCGGGATATTTAAAACCCGTTTATGACGAAGATACGAGCCCAAATAATGGCATACCAACAAAAGATATGGGACCCATTAATGAATGGTAATGTGTTTGATTTAGGTTTTGTTTGAGTTTTTAAATTGGTTCATTTAGGTGGGTGTCCGGGTTTGATGGGGGCGAGAAAGCTCTTGTGGGATTTTCCACAGCATATGGTGACTATTATGTCCAAGAGCCCTCAGAGGAGTATGCCCCTTTTATGAAGACAGTCAGACAAAAAATTGGACTTTCAAAAGTCGTGATAGAATTTCTGTTAGATGAATGTTGGCAACAGCCCAGCTATGAAGACCTTTTGCAGCGGCTGAGGGCCACCGGAAATCCGGATTTATCCGAAGAGGCCCTTTTAACACATGCACAGTTTGTCTTTGATCAGGTAAAAAAACAAACTAGGCATTGTATTTTTTACGTAAATTAATTTATTAATGACTGTAGGTGATGAGCTTTGATAATTGCGCTGGTGAAGATGATGATCTCTTGGTAACTACTCCTTGTATGAGAAATTTGATAAAAATATCAGGGGTGACATTTAAAGCAGGCAAAAAAATGGGCAGATTTAAGAAGGGTGCAGTAAAGGTGTCGATTTATTTTTGTTATAAAAAAGTTGAGGCGTTCTCTTTGTAACAAAAAGCTTTTAGGGTAAAGACAAGACTGGAAAGCAATCTGTTCAACATTGGAGCAAAGCAGCCACAACAAAACTAGTTAGAAACGTTTTTGAAACGTTCTTCGTTGATCAAATCGATAAGAACGATAAAATACCTTTCAGAAAGAAAAGATGCGGGGTTTGTGAAGCTTGCCAGACGCCTGATTGCGGCCAATGTAGTCATTGCAAAGACATGAAGAAGTTTGGCGGATCTGGCAGGAGCAAACAGGCCTGTAGACTTCGAAGGCAATTTAATTTTTAATAATTGAAAAAAAGCGGTAAATTGTCCAATTTTGTACTTTAGATGCCCCTACATGGAATTCCAACAGGCAGAGCAGGATGATGACAATTCAGAAGAAGATGAGACAATTAGAGAAAAAGAACTACCGTTATCTCCAACTATTAAACCCTGTTCAAAAAGGATTGTTAACAGTGTCAAGTGGCAGGGAGATCCAAAGGCAATGTGTCCTGAAAGGGTTTATTATAATTGCGCAGAAGTTGGTATGATCTAGTTTCCAGCGTTCTTTCAGTAACTAACTTTCTTTTTGCATTTGATGGCTTTTTTGCTCTTCTTGGTTCGATTTTTTTCTCTTTCCATCTTTCTATTTTTTTTTTTGGTGCAAGTCGAAATTTCTCCATTATTGTAGGTGGTGTTGAAATACGGGCTGGAGATTATGTAATGTTAGATACTGAAGAACCCAATAGGCCTTTGATGATCGCCAAGGTGGGGTACATGTGGGAGGACTCCTTTAAAAGGGCAATATTCCACGCTCATATGTTATGCAGGGGCACTGATACCGTTCTGGGTGAAACGGCGGACCCAAGTGAGGTTTTTGTTGTTTATGAATGTGACAACATTCCCCTGGGTACCATTATTAGAAAAGCTGTCGTAAGTGACGATTACCTACCCCGTTTCTTTTTAAAAAGAAGAATTATTATTTTGTCCAAGGTGGAAATTAAGAAACCCCCTGATAACTGGGCTTTAAATGGAGGTTTAGATGACTTGCCTCCTCACAGCGAAGACGATGGTGAAACGTTCTTTTGCAGTAAAAGATACGATCCCATTTGTGGTAGATTTGAAGACATTATTAGTGACCTAGACAGTCTGGACTCTTTAGCTACCCCTTGTCAGTCTTGCAAGTTAGTTTTTTGATTGTTTTGTCTATATTTGAATAAAAAACATTTGTCTTCGCCCAGGTGGAAGCACATGAACAAAAAAGAAAAGAAAGCAGTGTTAAAAGAAGGAGTGGTGTATTGGCATGGGGAGATTTTCAAAGTCGGTAATTGTGTCTTTTTGGATCCTGAGGTTGTACAAAATAGACGATCTGTAACACCAGAAAATAACGAGTTGGTACGCTATTATTTATTAATTTATCTTGTATATTTTTAAAACAAACATTTTTGGGGAGACAGAAGGATAATGTAGATGTCGACCTCTATCCTGAATTTTATCGTAAAAATTTCGAAAGTATTAAAGGCTCGAACATGGACACCCCCGATCCCTTTAATGTAGGGAGAATCGAGGGAATAAGGGAAACTTCCTTGGGAGATATAAAAATTAAAATAAGGAAACTGTACAGGCCGGAACAGACTCACAGGAGCGCTCTAATAAACACTTACGAATGTGACATAAATTTACTCTACTGGAGCGAAGAATGTAATTAATGATACATTTTTTAATTTGTTTATTTTATTTTGTGTTTGCTTCTCAGTTACTGAAGTGGTTTTTGGTGCAGTAACGGGGAAATGCTATCTGGCTTATAGAGATGTTTTAGAGACTTCTACGACCGAGTGGAGCTCCAAGGGGCCCTATAGATTTTACTTTTCCAAAAGTTACGACAGTTCCAAAAAAATATTTTATGATGTTCCAGAAGAAGCTACTAAGATTGGGATGCCATCGAAAGGAAAAGGGGGAGGTTGTAAAATATCATAGTTAATATTTTAAAAAATTGTTTACCATTATAAAACTATAGTTTTATTGAGATATTTCTAATTCTTTTATGCATCGTTAAGGTTTATTTTTAATTAAATTACAATAATACAATTAGGTAAAAGTAAATCAAAATCGGTCAAAAGTGAAAAGGATGCGGCAGATTCGCCCCCCGAGTGGCATAAAATCGACAAACCCCTTCAGTGTATGGACATATTCGCTGGTTGCGGTGGTCTTTCGGAAGGTCTTCATCAGGCTGGTGTGGCTGACACCAAATGGGCAGTAAGACATTGAATATTCTTCTCTACTATTTTTTCTACTGATTTTGTAATCGTGCATTAGATTGAAATGGAACCCGCGGCTGCTCAAGCTTTCAGACTAAACCATTCTGATGCCACAGTTTTTACAAATGATTGTAACGAAATATTGAGGGCGGTGATGTCTGGAGATGATAAAGTTTCGAAAAAGTTGCCACAGAAAGGCGATGTGGAACTGTTGGTTGGCGGACCGCCGTGTCAGGGTTTCTCAGGAATGAACAGGTTCAATGCAGGACAATACTCGCTGTTCAAAAATTCACTTATTGTCTCTTATCTGAGTTACTGTGACTATTACAGGCAAGAACAGATTCTTTATATATGGGGATGGATTAACATTTATTTTTGACCTTTTGTAGGCCAAAATATTTCATTTTGGAAAACGTTCGTAATTTCGTGTCTTTTAAACGTAGTATGGTGTTAAAGTTGACTTTAAGGTGTCTTCTGGCAATAGGTTACCAAGTGGCTTTTGGTATAATCCAAGCCGGACATTATGGCATTCCTCAGACCAGAAGACGTCTTATAATAATGGCTGCTGCCCCCGGTCATACTCTTCCTAAGTACCCTGAGCCTCAGCATGTTTTTAGCAGACGGGGCTGCCAATTGGGAATCTTAGTAGACGAATACAAGTTCACGACAGGTATTGACTCAAAATAATACGTAACTAGTTAGTAATGTTCTTGTGTTAGGTTCCAAATGGACCTTTTCTGCCCCATATCGTACAATTACCGTTAGGGATGCGATGAGTGACTTGCCTCCGATCAAAAACGGTTGTAATCAACTCGAAATGGCTTACAACGTGGAACCAATTTCCAGTTTTCAAAAGGCCATGCGTGGCACCAATTCGGAAAGTTCTTCTAAACTGACCGACCATATCTGCAAAGAGATGGCGCCGCTTGTGGAGGCTCGAATGTCCCATATACCACTCAGTCCGGGGGCTGATTGGAGAGACTTGCCAAATATCGAGACCTTACTTAACGACGGTACCAAAGCAAACAAACTGCGCTACCCTTACAGGTACTACACATAATTAAACATATTTTTGTTGAGATGTGAGTTCGGGTTTCTCTTTAGATTGAAAAAACAGTCGCCAAATGATCCCCCTCGAGGAGTTTGTAGATGCGCAACCGGAAAAGCGTGCGCTCCAACTGATAGGCAAATTAATACTTTGATACCTTGGTGTTTACCCCATACAGCAGACAGACATAATCACTGGGCGGGACTTTATGGAAGATTAGAGTGGGACGGGTTCTTTAGTACCACCGTTACGAATCCTGAACCCATGGGAAAACAAGGCAGAGGTATGGAGAGATGGGCATTTTTATAATTAAATTATTTTTTGTTTTAATGCGTTTATTACTTTTTTATTTAGTGTTACATCCCGAACAACATCGGGTAGTTAGTGTAAGGGAATGTGCAAGGTCTCAGGGATTCCCTGATAGGTATCAGTTTTGTGGAAATATTTTAGATAAACATCGACAGGTGGGGAATGCAGTTCCGCCCCCATTAGGTTTAGCGCTGGGTCGTGAAATACTTAAAGTAATTGACAACTGAGTCACTTTTACAATAAATTGACTCTGTTTTTTATCTAAACTTGTTCTTTTTATTAGATGGACTTGTATTATTTTTTTTGCATTTACATAAAATTTTATTGTATCTATTTGTAAGTATAACTTCTTCACGCATTTATCTTTTAATATTGCCTTATATCAAGGTCGAATTAAAAACCTTTCCCCACTACTTATTATTTTATTTGGATACTTTATGATTGAACATCATATTGAAACATTTACATATAAATATCGTTTTATTCTCCTACATATGTACAGCTACTAACAAGCAAGTAATTTAATTAATTCCAGCAAAGAATTTGGACAGGAAATCTTTCGGTTTGGGTTCCACAGTGTCCTTAAAGTAAGCCATTACGTGTCCTTTCTGTTTCCAAATATTGACTGTTTCAACAAGTTCCATTTGACCTTTTATAACTAACATATCAATGACCCTAAAGTCTGTTACGTGCTTGTGTTTGTTGAACTCTTCTCTTAACTTCTTTTTACACATTTCCGTCGAAAGAGGAGCATCATATTGGTTTATTATGTAAGGGATTTGTCTGTACCAAGCCTTGTATAAATTTAGCACCCTTTGTCGTGCTTCGGTCCTGTTTAAGGATAAAATAGGTTTCACCTGTTGAGTAACTACTTTTGCAGACTGGCTAGCCATCGTTTACAAGAATTTAGTATTCAAAATTTAAAAAAAATAGTAAAATATGTGTAACTTTGACAGTTACAGAATTTTTAGGTTATAAAAATTATTGAGGTTAGGTCAGTTTTAGTTCTATAGATCGATTAATAGAAAGTTGACAACCACCATAGATGCTGAAAGTATTTATTTTTAATAGTATACATCTTAAGTACTAACAAGTTGTTCGGATTTACTGATTGAAAGTATGTTTAATAAACAAAAAACGCTTGTTTTAAGAAAAAGAATTAATTTTGATTAATTGTCAAGGTTTTGTAACCGTAGTCGCTAGTAGCTGTCATTTTATAAACAAAAACAAGTGCGCATGTTCAAGTAGAAATCATTCAAAAATTTAACAACTGCTAAAAAAATACACAATTTTATACGTTTGTAGTATAATATTAATATATAAATATTAGGGTAAGTATCGTTAGATTGTACAAATTTTGAAGTTTAACTTTTAACTGTCACTTTGTTTTATAATTTAATAAACAACTCAATTAAAATAGTCACTAACGAATCTTAACCTTTAAATATTCGTATATTTAAACTACTGTTGTTGTTGTTTACTCACAAACTGTTATCAATTTCTTATGCTTGCCGCTTATTTTGACGAACAATTTGGATTTTGGTTTTATTTTCACCAATATTTACTTGATTTTATTTGGCTCTCTTCTATGTACTTATCTCATGCCTTGTCCTCTCTGTTGGATTTGAGAACCCCATTTTGTTGACTCAGATGTTCGGGCAGAACTTCGGTTCTTACTTCGTAAGTACAATTCCTAAATAAAATTCCTGACATATGTCATCTTGTCAATAATATTGTAGCAAAGTCCATCTAACATGCAAGAACCGGATGGCAGTGCACAGCAAACCTTCCAACCCAATAATAACGGTAGTGGGGCCGGTGATAGTAGAGATAACAACATTGACAAGACCAAACTTATAGTTAATTATATACCACAATTCACTACTGAACAGGAGCTGGCTCCTATTTTCCTTAAGATTGGCCCCATTGAAAACATTCGTATCATGAGAGATTTTAAGACTGGTTACAGCTTTGGATTTGGTTTTGTTAAATATACAACACCAGAACATGCCGCACAAGCAATTGAAAAGATTAATGGAATGACATTTAAGTAATTAAAGGGTAGAATTGGATTTAAATATGTAATAATTGGTAATATAACAATTTCAGGGATAAACGCTTGAAAGTGTCCATTTCTCGTCCTCCTGGTCAGGAAATGAAAAATTCAAACTTGTATATAACAAATCTGCCGAAAGATATAACTGAACAGGAGATTGACGAATTATTTGGACAGTATGGTGAAATTGTACAAAGAACAATTTTAAAGGACAAAATAACAGGAATGCCGAGAGGTGTAGCCTTTGTTAGGTAGTATATTGTATTGTTTAATCCCCCTTTTTATTGGAAATTACTGACCTATTTTTAAGATATTCTAAGGGAGAAGAGGCTCAAAGTGCCATAGCAAATTTGGACGGGAAATTGCTTGAAAATGGTTATTTACCACTCAAGATTCGCGTTGCTGAAGACCACGGCAGACAAAAAGCTCAATTTTATTACGACTATATGAGCCAATGTATGTTCAACAGAGGTAAGCGTAAGGCAGTCCTAAACATCGGTGACAACAAACGGAGCAAAGTCCGAACGTGACATTTTATTTTATTTTTACTGGGATTGGTTTTTCAACTTGAAAATTATTTCCTGAAAGGCTGTGTTTTAAATCGGTAACAATCTAGTCAGCATCCTCGCATATCACCCTTTAAAACAATTAACTTTTACTTTACGTGCGACTGTTTCTAACACTATTTTTGTTTGTTCTTCTTTTTTTTTAAATTATTGCGATTTTATTTTGTCATGTTCTTTAAAATAAGTGCAGACTGGTAGGAGGGGCAAGGGAACTTTACATTCCTTACCTTTCACGAAGTAATTTTCTGCACTGCTTTTTATTTTATTTTGTTGGTGATGGGGGTAGCTACAGTAATAACGGTATTAATTAGATTTTAAGGCAAATTAAACAGTGGCTGTGATTTAACTGATCTTAAAACGTAAAAGTACAGAGCATATGAAAAGTACAGAGGGTATCAGATTAGAATTTTACTATTAATTAAACTTGATACGCCTTTGTATTTTTTTTTTTGGGCCGTGTCTTTTTTATTTTTAGTATTCCAGCATGAAACTGAATGCGTTTTGGGATGTATGTTGTTTAATGAAATTGTTACTAATTATTGTACGTTGATCACTGTTACATGATCAAAAAATGACGTGATTTTGAAGACGTTACTGCTACAATAAATAGTAATAATTTTTTCTTATATATGTGTTAAATTAATTGTCTTTTATTTAGGTATTTTTTTTAATGATTTTCTGTGTATTTGTTGTTATTACAGTCTTTCATTCTGGTTAAAATTTGTTTTTGATAGGCATGAATATTAATCCATTTAGAAGTAATACAATGTGCTTTAGAAACATGCAGTTGACGAGAAGTAGCATGCCGCCGCTGAGGGGCAATAGACAGTTGAATACGTTAGGGCCCAACCGTTTTATGTCGATGGGCGCTGGCGATAACATATTCCAGAACCCGATGTTTTGGTGAAAAAATATCGTTAGTGGTGTGGGTGTGTGAATGTATCGTGCTGAAAAATCGACCACCCCCTTTCCTCGTTTTTTATTATTTTATTATGTATAATTGAATAATTCAATTATCAATTATTATTAATGCTATTAGAATTCCCATTGGGTTTGCCAACGTCGTCTCATTTATTATTATAACTTTTTTTTTGGTCCCTTCTATCGTTTTATTCACACCCCCTTTTCCTTTATCCACCGCCCACTGGTTTTTGTTTTGTTTTGCTGTCTCATTTTTAATGTCATTGGTGGCGGTGTCGTCGATTTTTTAGCACGTCAGTTTTTACTTGACAAAAGAAAAAAAAAAAGAAAAGACTGCATATTACATTTTTTGTTTGTTGTTAGAGTGTTTTATGATTTTGTTTTTTTGTTGTTGTATCTAACGAGTTCTTGAGGACAGTATATTTTATACAGCTTTTTTACTTAACTATTTATTAACCCCTAGTGCCTTACAATTAAACTCTGTTGTTCTACTCGTGTCTAGTAGATGTTTAATTGTTTTCTTTTTTTATTTTATTTTATTTTATTTAAAGTACGCGGGGAACCACTTTTCACCTCTTATTGCTGGTGACTGAACTAGAGACACCAAGAGAAATTTTTATTTTTTTTTTTCCTCCCTTTGAGTTTATTCTGTTCGGCAGCAGGTGCTTATATTTTATATAGTTTTTAGTTTTTATTTTTCGTTTATTTTAGAGCTTTAAAAGAACGGTATTTCGTTAAAGGCACATTGTCATTCGACTGATATTTTTTAGCAACTGTAAAATTTGTTTTCATGTGTTCAATATATTGTTTGTAATAAACGTTTAGCTTTTATTATAGAAAAAAGAAGAAAAACAAAAAACAGAAACGAATTAAGGTTTCTTTGTCTATTCGACAAGTGAATGTAAAGCTGTTGTTTTTGAGAATAAATAAATGAACAAATATATTTTAAATAATAAACGAACTTTATGTGTATTTCTTTTGGGAATGGGGTGGTATGGTGACAGTTTTGGGTTCTTTGGGGCTGGGCAAGAATTTGATGAATAAATGACTTTAAATAATAAACGAAGTCTTTGTTTTCTTTTGTTTAGTGGGATAAGGTGATAATTTGGGAATGTAGTGGGTTTATTGGGTTGGGCAAGCTACTTAATTTTCTTGTTTATTGAAAATGTGTATTTGTAATCCAAAATCACATGTATTTTATGACCTTCGTAAGCATGGGCCGTGTGGCCAGTCTTCCCGCACTCTTTTAATATATGGTATATCGGTAGGGTGTATGTACCTGCGACCCACGTAACTGTATAGGTGTAGTTATAAAAATCTTTTTTTAATTAATATGATTTATAATAAAACAAGTTAAAATGTACATATTAAATATTTATTAATAAAAAAGTCAACGTCTTTTACAAAAAGTTATGGCAGTTCGTGTTTTCAAAACCTTGTAGAACACCCTTTTGTGCAATATTTGTTATCAGTAATTGCACGTGACACATTTGTGGATTATACGAGGTTCTGCTGTTTCAACGGGGTGACATTGGGTCAAGGCATCCCCATTATATCCGGGGAAACAAGTGCATACAGCGATATGACGTTTAGCGTTACACATGGCGTTTATACCACATTGGTTTATACACGGGTTTTGACAACTAGAAATAAAAAATTAATCGTTTACAACAAATACTACCCCTCTTTTTGATTGTTGTTGTATTAGATAGGTACCTCAGATTAATGCAAGCTCTTGTGTCTGGGCATTCCGCGTCGTCAAGACATTCTCCCCTAATGCATGCCCTTAGGGGATCTCCCGTGTATCCCGGTAAACAGGTACAAACTGGTCTCTCCTTGTTGTATCTATCGTGGCCGGGGGTGCATTTTGCGTTTTGGCCGCAAGGGTTTGGCTCACAAAGATCCTCTAAATTAATAACAAATTAACATATTTATTTAATCATTATTCACGTTTAGACGTATTAATTGTTTATTAATACGCTAAAATGCGATCCGGTGATTTATTATTTATATTGTTGTAAGGTCATTAAAAAATAATAATCGTTTTCCTGAAATTTTATTATACGCGCGTACGTAACTTGCTACGCAGCAGTACAACCCCTACAGCAGTCCGGGAATTGCTGCTGTGATTCACCCGGTGCCGGTTATAACATGTGCCTCGGCCAAACGAGGCACCTCATTGGCTGTTGCCCGTGGTTACCTGTATGATGGCCGATTGGAATGCGGGCGCATCAGTGCACCTGCACTCTAGGCGCCACTTGCATTTAGAACAAACAATAGCGAAGGTCGTTGACTGACCTAGTTTTTAAAGGAATTTAAACGCCAATTTTTAAACGTTCATATCTCACTAAGTTATTAACCGATTTTGTTCCGGTTTTCACCATTATATCGATAATTTAAAAATATATTAATTATTGTGGCAATTATAATTAAAAAATACCTTTCGTGAACGGTCTGCAACTAACGAACGGGTTGCCCGTCATGTCCTTGGGACACGAACATACCGGGGTCAGTCCATTTTTCAATTGACAATTCGCATTAATACCACAAACCCCGTCGCAGGGGTTTTTACATTGGTTATAGAAACAAGCTGGTTTACCAGGAGGACAGTCACTGTGGGATACGCATTCGGGTTTGCAAGATATCAGGGGATTTCCGAAATAACCCTAAACAAAGATAATAAAATATTGGCAATGTTATTACATATTTTTATACTTAATAATAAATTCTACCGTACCCTCGGACATTTGCAAACAGCTACGTGGTTTCTAACCCCTTCACATTCGGCATTTTCGCCACACTGGGAGCATGGGTTCTGGCATCTGAATTCTAAACAGGCTGATTGGGGTCCGCATTCCGAATCGCTTTCACATTCGTGTCGGCACCCAGCAACGGGAGAACCATGGTACCCGGGGAGACATTTACATGTCGGAACATTGTTTATAACTTCACACTGGGTGTTGCTTCCGCAGGGACTGGGGTGGCAAAGTTCCTCTAACAATAAGAATTTAACGATTTGTTTAAATAAGTGTACGCTTTATTCTACCTGGGTCGAATTTCCTGCAGGAACTAAACGGGTCCCCGGTATGTCCTGGGGGACATGAACAAACAGGTACATGATTTCTGACCTCGCAGTTGGCGTTGAAGCCGCATATTCCTTCACAAGGGTTAACGCATTTTTCGTTGATGCAGGACAAGTGTCCTCTACATTCAGAGTTATCGAGACACTCTGCCCTCCTGCAGTAGGTCAGGGGGTCACCGGTGTACCCATTGAAACAGGAACATACAGGACGTCCTCCTGCGATGGTACACTGGGCATTCTGACCGCACGTGTTCCCTGTACATCCTGTTACAGATGCCGGAAGAAATTCTGGAAAACGAAAAAGCTTTAGTATTAAATACATTATCGATTGTTTAATTGATTAACCAGTTTTAGCGTATTTAGTAATTCCGCCACTTCCGGAAAGGCTTGTCCTTCCAAACTGATCCGTTACGTAGACTTTTCCTTCATGGGAACCCGAAGAGGGATAGATGGTACAAGTGGTGCAATCGTCAATGTATTTAACGCGGGGTGTTATCACCACTTCCGGTTCATAAATAACTTGTCCCAACGCATCGTTAGATTGAAGGTGGAGGGCCAAAAGAATTAGAAACGCCGCTGCAGGGCCCATCTGTCAAAATATTACAAAAAAGTGTTATTTATTATTACGTAAACAAAAGGGAAAAAAAAACAATTCAGTTATTGAAATCGTGTTGATGGAGTGATGAATCATTAATTCAGTCGTAGGTGTTATATCTCCAAAAAAGGACACATTTCACAGCCTACTTGTTACAAACCACTCAACCTTCACCTAAAGGAAAACGTGTAATACGAAGTAATGCTTTTGTTAAATGTTTATTTTTTTTTACTTTGCAAGGTTAACTGGATTATGCCCTTTGTCCTTAAATGGGAATGTTGAAATGTTTTTATTTACCTATATGCTAGCGGTTAAGGTCGCGGGATAACAATTTAAAGTGGGACCGTANGTTATGTAGATGCATGTAATTAACTGGTATTGATGATACAAGGTGACGTAATTGAAGTTACATTCGATTTTTGAATTAGAAATCTCAGAAAAATTGTATGCACCAGGTTATCAATTTGAAAGAAAACCAGTCTGAACTAGTTCAAGTCGGAGGCTGTTCTTATTTACAATCTTCTTCTGAATTAGCCACAGTCACTGTACTTATAGCTACTTCAGAAAAAGATTAAAAAGGTTCTTTGTAATTAATCTGTCTTAACTAATTATACAATTAGCCTTGAGGAAGCCCCCATCCGAAGGCGAAACGTTGGGAGAATGTAAATGAAAATAGCTCTTGGCTTGAACTAGTTCAGAGTGGTTTTCTTTCAATTAACTATCATTGAAGAAATAATGCTTTTTGCTATTACTGGTCATGTATGATGATACACCCTATATATTACAGTAAATTACTTACGCCTACACAAAATTCGTCGAGATATAGAAAGGCGAACTATTTGTTGAACCGGATTTAAAAATAAATAATTTTTCGTAAAAGTAACATGTCTACATAACTAAAGAAAAAAAAAAAAATTAGTGGGAAGACGTGCAGTCTTAATGCCAAGGATAAAATAAAATTTTATCAATACAGGAAATGTAATTTGTTCTACAACAAAAACTTTACGTAAATGGAGGGGTTTGTAAAGTACAACAGGATAATAATAACAACATAAAATCAACTATAAAATTTAAAGTACAAGTAGAAAAACTTGCAATTAATAAAAGTAGATATTTGTTCTTATGATGTTTTGTTTGTAACGAACTTATTAAGCAATCTGTATTATTTGAACGAAAAAACTACCCTTACCTTGAATAATAATTTAGCTTAAAACCAACTGTACCAGGTCAACTTAAACCTAACACTGAATTGTACCTGAAATGGCAAATAATGAAGCACTGTCTCCCTACCCATGTACTCCCCATATTCAAATAATTTCTGGTGACACCTAAGACGTTTAGAAGGTGTTTTTGTTGTTACTTCAATGAAATTTGCATATTGTTACATCATAGTGTATGCAAATTGTGCTTCTCTTTTTGGTAGTTGACGAACGAATATTAAATAATATTATAAAAATTGAAAAGAAAACAATAAATTGCTCTTTAACGATCTTTTGTTTAAACAACAACAGATCGATATATATTTTTTTAAATTATTGTTTATTTTAGTTTATTTGCCAATGTGAACAAAAAATTGGGCAGTTAGTTAAAAATTCATATTTTTTTTAACTATTAAATACTTAACTTTGAAACGAATGCATCAGTTATGTAGATGCATGTAATTAACTGGTATTGATGATACAAGGTGACGTAATTGAAGTTACATTCGATTTTTGAATTAGAAATCTCAGAAAAATTGTATGCACCAGGTTATCAATTTGAAAGAAAACCAGTCTGAACTAGTTCAAGTCGGAGGCTGTTCTTATTTACAATCTTCTTCTGAATTAGCCACAGTCACTGTACTTATAGCTACTTCAGAAAAAGATTAAAAAGGTTCTTTGTAATTAATCTGTCTTAACTAATTATACAATTAGCCTTGAGGAAGCCCCCATCCGAAGGCGAAACGTTGGGAGAATGTAAATGAAAATAGCTCTTGGCTTGAACTAGTTCAGAGTGGTTTTCTTTCAATTAACTATCATTGAAGAAATAATGCTTTTTGCTATTACTGGTCATGTATGATGATACACCCTATATATTACAGTAAATTACTTACGCCTACACAAAATTCGTCGAGATATAGAAAGGCGAACTATTTGTTGAACCGGATTTAAAAATAAATAATTTTTCGTAAAAGTAACATGTCTACATAACTAAAGAAAAAAAAAAAAATTAGTGGGAAGACGTGCAGTCTTAATGCCAAGGATATTTGTCTGTATTACTTTTGTGGCAAAGGATTCGATGTTTTGTAACGACCTTCTTCATGGATGTAATGTAAAATAATCAAAAGTGTAATATTCAATTTTGAAAGAAAAATTTTCTTTAATTATTACCATTCTGTACTGCAATTCTATAAAAAGTTTAGAAGTTTGACATATAATTCAAAATTTTATGCAGATAGTTAAGCTTCCCTTTTTAATCTAAGACATCTCTAATTACCAACGAAAACAATTTTATACTATAAAAGAGCAGAACCCTTACTAAGGGTGATAGTGCTGTATTTTGGAACTAATTAACAATTATTTCATTGATTTCGTGAGCCCTAGGAGGAAAATATTATTTATCAGTGCTTCTAATTAATTAAAACAATTGATTCATTGAAGTATATAATCATTTATTGAAGTGTTAGTAGTCCATCATTTAAATATGTAGGTACTTTTTTTCGCAATTCTGTAGTTTTACTTTCCTGCAGGAATTAGACGGGTCTCCCGTACATCCCGGGGGACGAGCAAACGGGTACGTGATTTTTAACCTCGCACTTGGCATTGACACCACAGGATCCTTTACAAGGATTAACGCATTTTTCGTTAATACAGGACAAGTATCCTCTACATTCCGAGTTGTCTTGACACTCTCCCTTCCTGCAGTAGGTCAGGGGGTCACCGGTGTACCCATTAAAACAGGAACATTCAGGACGTCCTCCTGCGATGGTACAGTGGGCATTTTGACCACATGTGTTTCTTGTACATTCGGTTACAGACGCTTGTTCTGAAACGTCATTTGACTGAAGGTGGATGATCAAAATGACCAGAAACGTGAATGCGGGGCCCATCTATAAGAAAAATTACAAAAAATATGATTCCACCCTGTATATTATAGCCCCCTTTACTAAATTTTTAAATAAGTAAAGCAGATATAAATAAATAGGTGAATTATTTTATTTAAGACTAAAAAAAGTTTTTAAGAATTCGGTCGTAGTACAGTGTGTAATTATATTATTTTGCAAAAATAGATGGTTTTGTCAATAAAAGAGACAGTGGTAAACATCTATTACTTACCTTTCTGTATTCGTTGCCTTTCTGATTGAGTCGTTAAATATCCACGAAGACTAACGCAAACTTCTCAAATGTATTAATTATTCAAAAAAGTGTAAAACTGATAATTTTACCAAGGCCTGTTACTTTTAAAATGTTCTTTTCCAAAAATTGATTGTAGATATCACTAGAACAATTTTAATATCAATTTCATTTCATGTAGAACATATTCCTATAATCTTTGGATATGTTTAAGTGTAGTAGTGTACCTAGATTATAATCCGTACAACAAAGTTCTAGTTTTCTGTTTTATTATGTCTAAGCAGAGCTAAATGTTCTTTAAATCTAACGTTGATAGCTCTACGGCTTTGACCTATGTACTGTTTATCGTAATTTTCACGTTTAATTCTGCGAATTTCAGGTTTCTTTTACTTTCGTTTATCTTTTGGATAGCCTAACATTTTAAAGTACTTTTTGATTGGATTTAAAATAGAAAAGAATTTCGGTTTTAGGTAGTTTTCGTTCTCTTGATTTTGTTTGAAGGACAATTTTAATTCGGTCAAATCCGTAATTATTTATTTATTTATGTTAGATTTGTGCCTACAAATGTCAAGTCCATATTTTTGCTCATAAATAAAAAATTGTCACACTCAAAATTAAAAACAAATTCTTTTTTAGGAATAATTTGATAAATAAATAATGTCTTCCATTATTTCGAGTTTGAATAAATTACAAGTTAGCAATTCATTAATAAATCTACAAAGTTTTGTTATCGTAGCTTATTATAATTTCATTGGAGGTGTTGAATAATTACGAAAATTATTAAATTTTAGTAAGAATAAATTAGATCTTATTTTCAGTCACAGTATTTTTAAAGGAAAAGAAATTTGTAATACTAATAACAATAATAAATTACATTAACTAGCGTTAGTTAATGCCAAGGATAAAATAAAATTTTATCAATACAAGTTATTTTCATTTATTTTAGGCATCTTCACTATACGATATGATATTAGTGAATGTTGATCTGGAACTGTTTATTGCTACTGAAATATAAAACTATCTATCATTTTCGAGAAAAACGTCTGTATCAAAATCGCCATAACATTTTTTACAAAATAACCACTTGTTTCATACATATTGAAGAAAATACGTCACAGTTGTAACATTTTTGTTGTAATTATAAATAATAATTGTATATATAACCGTCTATCTTTTGGTATGATAAGAACAGTCCTGTTATTTATTCCGCGCTGGCAAGACGGTGGTATCACATGTGAAAAATACATTCGTAAGAAAATATAGATGGGTCAATCAATCTAATTAAATTGGTTCTTGGGTGCTCAATAAAGTGGTACAATTAAAGTGCAAGATGAGGGGTAAGCCTTAGAAGACAATTACTAAAAAATTTTGATGTAATTTACCTGCGTGGTATTTGTGGAAATTTCATTGTTACTCAATTTATAATTGCAATACATGACTATCTTTTAACAAATAATAATAATGTTTATATTAATTTAATTACTTAATATTTTCATTAATTATTGGACTTTTTTCTTCCTTAAATATTTGTTTTCTCGAAATTACTTTAAAATCTTATAGAAGCAAATATTTTTTTTGGCATTGACTAAAACAAAAGTAAATTGAAATTTGTTTATTTTCTGTTATTTGTAGATCTGATAAGGAATTATAAAAATACAATAAGTGGTAAAATACCAAATGATTCGGGATCAGAAACTGACCCTTTGGTTAGTTCTTGTAATAGTACATCGACATGGTAAGACATCGGACATTTAATTATTAGAATTTTGTGGTAGGTTTTCTTTTAACGAAATAGAAATCTAGAAACTCTGGTTTATTCTGGGTATTATTATCGTAGCAATTTAAAAAGAAATTACCCTAAAATAGCCTCCCTAATGTCATAATAATATAAAAATAGTAGTTACAGTTTATATTGGTTTATATAAATTTTATTGTTTTATTTTTTGGGTGTAATTAATTTTGTATAATTTTGTAGTACATCCCAGGACGATTGTATGTTTAATGATACAGAATTTTCGGACTATGAGACGGAGAAACCAAAGATAGGGACCAGCGTGTCCTTACCCTTTTCATATCAAAACGGGTAGGAAATATTATATAGATACTATATTACGAAAGGAATCAATTGTTCTTTTTAACTAAATATCTGCAATTGTTTTTGTTTTCCTAGAAGGGGAAAACCCGAAAAATTTATTGGAAATTACAGATCCATATCGATCGACGGTTTCCACAAGGAGGAGACTGATGTAGGTCGTTATCAGTTTATTTCGAATCTTGGAAATGCTTTTAGTGCTAGTTGTACTTCTTTGGTAAGACTTTGCACACATATAAAACAAAAAAAAAAGGAGTAATAATTTATTTCTTACTTTTTCGATTATTATCTATTAAAACCATGGTAATTTACTTTCTTGGGGTTCTATTTTTAACCGCTTGTGACCTTTGGTACATACGAAAATATAATAAGTACACAAGAGGTCCAAAAAGATTTAGCATGGAAAATGTACATAACTGATAACAAATTTTATCAATAAAACAGGGACGTAGTTGCGATTAGACCAAAACCCATGCATTGGAAGTTGTACCCTTTATACTTGTCTTCCCTGAATTTTAATAACTTATAATCCGAAACCCGACAAAAATGAAAAAGGAAAATTTACTTAAATATTAAAGCGATATTTACAATTTATTCCACTAGCCCGTTGCTTTCGTAAGTGAAAATAATAAAAATTATAATTTGGACCCCAATTTGTAAAAATAAAATCCCAGCAGAAATAAATTTGCTAGATATTTACTAGTTGATATTACAAATCAAATTATGTATAACAATTAAGAAACTTGAAATAACTTTTAAAAAAACATGTCAAAATTGAGATTATTACAAGTTATACCTAACAAATTTTACTATTTCTACAGCAAATTCAGTCATTTACAATCAAAAATTGTAATTTTTGGGTTGTCATAAAATTTAGTTTTCTACATGTATAATATTTAAAATTAATTCAACTTTACGTAATGCAAGACGTTATACAAAATTGTGTGTTACTTTATCAGAACTGACAGCTCTTATTATATTTGCTAAATTACTTACCTAAGAAGAAAAAGGAAAAAGAGCCTGATTACGTCCCTGTTTATGAGACAGTTTGTCATATATGATTTCCTTGTTATTAATTAATACGTTCAATGTTTATGCAATAAGATAATTCACTATAGATAACATAAAAATTACGTAGACACTTCTTTAAAAGTAATGAAAATTATATTTTTATTTCGTAACTAGGACTTTACTAGCGATAAAAAAATCTTTTTGGTTTCGCTCTGTATAGGGCTATCAACAATAATGAACTCTTTTGTCTATTTTAAAATGTTTCAATTGTTAGGTATTTAAATGAAACAATGGACTCTTGATTGGTAAACACTATGTATTAGAAGTGTTGTAACTAGATTGGTTTTTGCATCATCTGGTTTAAATTAAATGTTATTGACACAAACCTCTTGAAAAATTAACCCAATTGCCACATTAATCTTAATTAATTTATTATTGCGTCACGGGAGCAATTTCATTTTAATCCAGAGGGAATTAAATTTCTACCAGTTTTCTTTTGTTCCTTCAGCTGAGCAAATCGTTGGAATATCAGGAAATGGGGGGCACCAAGTCCATCAAAACCCAAAGCTCACTCGTCACTATGTAAGCATTTTTATACGTTTTAATTTTTAGTTAAATCGAATTAAATTTTTGATTAATAGTATGCCAAAAATTGCAATCAAAATGTTGTTCTTATTTTTTTTTTATAAATATCTATGCATTAAATTTTAATTAAATATTTTTCGAATTTTTGCGATTAGGTACAATAGCAATTTAATTAAAAATATTGCTTTTGTTTTCGTTTCTTTATAAACATTAAATATTTGTATTTTATTTTATCGAAATGAAAAAGCAGTGGTGTAACCGAAGTGTTTTAAGGTCGTCTTTTATTTTTAATTTTTTTTTGACATAAAGTATTAAAGACAATAATAATTGATGAACAAATGAAACAAACAAATGAAAATTACAACAATTATTAAACAAAATACTACCTACATGTACGTGACAATTGACTAAAAAAAAAAGAGTGTTCTAAATTCCGTATCTTGTCCTGATTAGAAATTGTAAAAAATATGCTTTTCATTGACGTTTTGACGTCAAAGGTTAGACATCTCCAGCAAAGCAGGATCTCCAAAAAAATTAACAGCAGATTATTGTAATCTTTGTGCTCCAAATCCATTGTAATAAAATGTATCGACTTTGACGTTAGAAAAAGCAAATATGTAGTAAACTAAATTGTAAACAATAAATAAGTTCAATGTTGATTCTCGTTATCAGTAGGCTGATAGCGGATCATCCCTGAAAATTTAAAATAAAATTCGGATGATGAAATAGGGCAACATGTTTCATCAGAATTACTTTATCTCCGAAGAAATGCATGAATGTTGACCCATAAAATTTTTCATTGTGAACAGTATTATTTATTATTTAATTAATAGCAATGTAGCGGATGATATATTTGTTTATTTATTTATTTTAATGTAGGTATACGTTCTAATATAAGTTTGTTATTAACGCAAAACGCAAAACTAACTTTTATTTTCGGCATGTGCTACATGTAGTATCTAATTGTTAGATTTGCAATTTGGAACACGACAATGGGTTCTTCGTTATTGGCAATGGCATGGGGTATGGAGAAGGCTGGCCTTATTCCTGGAATCATAATCAACATCCTTGTGGCAGGGTTTTGTTTATACACTTGTTACGTCTTGCTTAAAATAAACGAAAACCATGGTGAGTAGTTATTAAAACAAAAAAAGAAACAAAAAACTGCCACCCAACAAGAAAAAAGACAAAAGAGAAACAGTTAATTGTTTTCGCAGGAGTCATTGGTCAAAACAACGAAGTCAGCGAACTTTGCAGAATGCTGATTGGTAAGTGGGCCGAAGTTATTGCCAAAGTTTTCTCTTTGGTTGTTCTAATTGGTGCTAATATCGTTTATTGGGTTTTGATGTCCAACTTTTTGTACAATTCGGTTCAACTGTTTTATGGTAAGGGAACATCAAACCAAAACCACAAGGGTGTAGACATTGTTTTCCTTTTAGATTATTTATTTCCGTCGTCGGTTACACTGGACTCGAATGATACACTGTTGTGCCCGTCTGCCAGCGTTTGGAATGTTTCAAACACTAATTCGAATTACGTTTTACAACCGGATGTTCCCAAAACCGGTTTCGCCAGGTTTTGGGACTTATACAGTACCGTACCAGTTATTTTGGGGATAATAATGTTCCCCCTGTTGAATTTCAAAAGCCCCACCTTTTTCACCAAGTTCAACAGCCTAGGCAAGACTAATTGTTTTATTTTTTGATTACAATTACAATCTTATTTAATAATATTAATCGAATTATATATTTTTTTTGTGTTGGTGTAGGAACCACAAGTGTCATGTACCTTTTGATTTTTGCCGCGGTTAAGGCTACGTCTTGGGGGATAAACATCCCCGGGTGGCAATCGCTTTTTAATCTAAAAACGACTTTTTGCGCTCTTAGTGGGATGCTGTCTCTCAGTTATTTTATTCACAACATTATTATTTCTGTGATGAGAAGTAATTCGAATCAGGAAAATAACGTAAGTCAAGTCATTATCATAAGGTTGTCAGTCCTAAGACTGACTGGACACGCACCTCCAATCATTCCTATCCTGAGCTAATCTTCGCATTTCCCTAAAACTAAAACAACCCACATCCTTAACTATTTGCGAACAGCAATCTAATCTAGGTCTAATTCTACCCCTCCTAACTCCTGTTTCTGCCTCTAATATGTCTCTGACTAGACCTTCATGCCTTCTCCTATTCTTTCTAATACCTCTTCATTTCTAACCTTCCGTATCCACGGTATCCTCATCATTCGCCGGTAACACCACATTTCGAACGTTTCTAACTTTTTCTTTTCCGCTGCGTCCACTGTCCATGTTTCGCACCCGTACAGCGCCGCGCTCCAAACATACACCTGCTTCTGTTCTGACTTATCTGACTTCCTAGATACCCAAAAAACAGCCACTTCTTCTAATTTTCCGTCTTCTATCTTTATATTCGCTCTTTCCCTATTTTAGTGTTTCAATTAAAAACCCTGAAGGTATACCTTGGTAATTATTAATTTTTTATTTTTAGGTACGCGATTTGAGCATCGCCTTCGGCTTGGTCACTTTCACGTATCTTTTTCTGGGAATTGCGTTCTATATAACGTTTCCCTTGGCAAAATCCTGCATCCAGGATGTAAGTGTAAATAAAGTCCCAAATATAACGAATAAATTGTTATGTTTTCTTCCAGAATATCCTCGACAATTTTAACAAGCGCGACACATTGACTATAATCGCTCGATTGTTATTATTGTTTCAATTGGTAACTGTCTTTCCACTTATCTCTTTCATGTTGCGTAACGATATTTTCACAAACGTCGACCTGTTTTTCAAAAATTATAGTCCAGGACACTTCTCCTACGTCAAAGTTGTTATTCTTAATCTAGGGATAATCGCAGTGTGTATTTTATTCGCTTGTTTCTTGCCAAAGATTGGAACATTAATCAGGTACGTAACAAATGTCTTAAGTATCAAAACTCACCAATGCTTTACTTTAATGTATCTAAGGAGCGTATGAGCCAATACTTTTCAGTATATTACAAAACTGACAATTGCCGACCAATTACAGGCTTAAATCGGGTTCATAATCGAAGTACCTAATTATTGCATTGCTTTGTATGTAGACGCTTAGCAACACATCAGTCAATTGTTTGTAGTGTTGTTGTCTTATTGACAATTGCCATCCAATCGCAGACTTGACGATAAACCAGTTTAACAATTGAAGCGAGTATTGCTTTGTTTTGTACGAGTGTTTTTTGCATTTCCAATTGTCTTTAGTCATGTTGTATTGTCGACAATTGCCATTTAATCGCAGCATGGACAATAAATCGGCTTAATAATCTAGTGATTTTTGTATTGTTTGGAATGCTGGCGCTTAGTAACATATCAGCCAATTGTCTTTAGTCTTGCGCTATTGTCGAAAATTGCCATCCAATCGCCGACTGAACAATAAACTAGTTTAACAAACGAAGTTCTTCTAGCACTGCTTTTAAAACAGACACTTATTAACACATTAGTCAATTGTCTTTAGTCTTGTTGTATTGGAGACAATTGCCATCTAATCGCAGGATGAACGATAAACGGGCTTAATAATCGACTGATGCTTGTATTGTTTTGTATGCAGGCGCTTAGTAACACATTAGCCAATTGTCTTTAGTCTTGTTGTATTGTCGACAATTGCCATTTAATCGCAGGCTGAACAATAAACCAGTTTAACAAACGAAGCTACAGTTGCACTGCTTTTTAAACTGACACTTATTAACACATTAGCCAATTGCCTATAGTTTTATTGTATTGTAGACAATTGCCATCTAATCGCAGGATGGACGACTAATCGACTCAATAATCGACTGATCTTTGTATTGTTTTGTATGCATGCGCTTAGTAACACATTAGCCAATTGCCTATAGTTTTATTGTATTGTAGACAATTGCCATCTAATCGCAGGATGGACGACTAATCGACTCAATAATCGACTGATCTTTGTATTGTTTTGTATGCATGCGCTTAGTAACACATTAGCCAATTGTCTTAATCTCGTTGTTGTAATGTTGACAATTTCCATCCAATGGCAGGTAGGGCGATAAACTACTTTAACAAACGAAGTTATTGTAGCATTGCTTTTTATGTAAGCACTAAGTAACACATTAGCCTATTGTCTTTAGTTTTGTTGTTTTAATGTTGACAATTGCCATCCAATCGCAAGCTTGACAATAAACCAGTTTGGTAGTTTGGCAGCCATCATTGTAATTTACATCCAATTGTTAACAATTGCCGTCCGAAAAGGCGAAGAAAATTAAACAGATGAAGTGATGTTATACTTTTTTTTAGATATACCGGTGCTTTAAGTGGGATGGTATATATTTTTCTTTTGCCAAGCCTTCTTAAAATTGCTTCTCTTAGGAAAGAGGGACAACTGACTGTGTTTAAACTAGTATTTCAACTGTGTATAATCGGTCTAGGTGTACTTAATTTAATTTCGCAATTTTTTATTGCCGATTGAAAATAAAAAGATGACAGATATTGATTAGAGATATGTACGTACAGGTATATGCAGAAAATAGTACTAAATAGACTTATGGTTAATTATATGTGTTCAACACATGCCCAATACTACAAAAAAAAACAATTGTGTGTAAATAATTTTTGGGACAGTAACTGGTTTTACTTTCTCAAAACAGCAGTGACTATTTTTTGTTTTTCTGATGAAATGTATTTGTTATTATTATTATTCTTATTTTAAATGTGTGTATTTATTCGTTTTATTAATTATGTGACAATAATTATTTAATAATTAATCTAAAAAAAATATTTTTTGTAAGTTTATTATTTTTTTGTTTAAGCTACTGTTATTTTTTTTTGTAATGCCCGGTATCATAACAAGTGAATATTAGAGAAAGACTGAACCTTTATATATATTGTTAATAATCAAGTGCGCCAAAGACTGATAACGACGAAATACTTTAAAGCAACTTGATAGCAGCTTATTTTTTTTATCGACTTGTATTTACCAATAACAATAACAGCAATAAATAAAATAAGTTCCAAATATCATGAATTTCATCTTGCCCTTTGCACGATTTAGCAAGATTGTTCGGATATATCTTAATTAGCCCTCGTATATCAAAGATTAGTAATACATTTCCGGAAAATTAAATTACGCCGATGTGTGATTAAATATTTGCTCGGGGTTTTTTGCAGCAACGCGCTCATCAGTTACACTTAAAACAACTGACAAAGGTGATGTGAAAAAATAACACAACGTATCTATTATTACAAACAATTGACACCTCACTTACGCAAGTTTGAAAAAAGTGAAATCATTTATTTAAAGTATCCTGAAATTTAAAATTAGGTAAGCGTCGATTTTCAAGCAACTTTTAATAACTAACCTGACCTCTTTCGTCTTTTCCTGTTAAATAATTTCTGGTGGAAACGTTGTTTATTTGGTTATTATTAAATTATCTTTGTTGATAATTTTTTGTTTATGTAATAGATCAGCTGATTTTCCTATATATATATAGAGATATATAGATAATGAATTAAAGTGTAAAGAAAACTTAAATTGTCGATCAATATTTTTCTCTAGTTCAGTCACTTATTGTATGATGTCGCAAGTTGTGTCATATACAGCTAAAAACTTGGACAGTGCTTCTTAAATTTTTTGATAAGCGGAACCCTTTTCAATCTTCATATTTTTTATGGAACCCCAAGTTTGCTTTAAAGTATCATGTCCGTGTAGCATTCTTTAAATGAATAATTTTTTAATAAAAATGATAGTTTTACTGAAACTTTTAAGAAGTTAAATAATTTGTTCAACATTTTTTGTCTTCTATTTCTTGTGATGTCATAAAGACAATTTCGTTAATTTTTATTGTTTTGTGAAAAAAGCACGTAAGTTTCGTAGAATCCTTCCGTGATCTCCACGAAACCCCAGGGTTCTGGCTTAAGAAAGGGTGGTTTAGGACTTTAAAAAAACTATTAGGTGATCTCCACGAAACCCCAGGGTTTTGTGGAACTTTGTTTAAGAAACGGTAGTTTAGGACTTAACTAGCTGATTTACAAACAAAAAGCACTTACGTTTTGTGAAATCCTTTAGTGATCTTCACAAAACCCTAGGGTTCTGGCTTAAGAAAGGGTGGTTTAATACTTTAGAAAAACTGTTAGGTGATCTCCACGAAACCCCAGGGTTTTGCGGAACTTTGTTTAAGAAACGGTAGTTTAGGACTTAACTAGCTGATTTACAAAAAGAAACACTTACGTTTTGTGAAATCCTTTAGTGATCTTCACAAAACCCTAGGGTTCTGGCTTAAGAAAGGGTGGTTTAATACTTTAGAAAAACTGTTAGGTGATCTCCACGAAACCCCAGGGTTTTGCGGAACTTTGTTTAAGAAACGGTAGTTTAGGACTTAAGTAGCTGATTTACAAAAAAAAAGCACTTATGTTTTGTGAAATCCTTCAGTGATCTTCACAAAACCCTAGGGTTCTGGCTTAAGAAAGGGTGGTTTAGGACTTAACTAGCTGACTTAAAGAAAAGCACTTATGTTTCGTGAAACCCTTTGGTAATCTCCACAAAACCCCAGGGTTCTAGTTTAAGAAAGGGTGATCTAGGACTTTAGAAAAACTCTTCGGTGATCTCCAGGAAACCCCAGGGTTCTGCGGAACTTAGTTTAAGAAACGGTGGTTTAGGACTTAACTAGCTGACTTTAGAAAAAAAGCAATTATGTCTCGTGAAACCATTTAGTGATCTTTACAAAACCCCAGGGTTCTGGTTTAAGAAAGGGTGGTCTAGGACTTTAGAAAGACTGTTAGGTGATCTCCAGGAAATCCCAGGGTTCTGCGGAACTTTGTTTAAGGATTGGTGGTCTAGAATTCGTAAAACACAGGCATGTTTCGTGTAACCCTTTATTGATATCCACAAAACCCCAGGGTTCTGCGGAACATCGTTTAAGAAACGATGATTTAGGTCTTAACTAGCTGACTTTTAAAACCCTTCGGTAATCTCCACAAAACCTCAGGGTTCTAGTTTAAGAAAGGGTGATCTAGGACTTTAGAAAAACTCTTCGGTGGTCTCTAGGAAACCCCAGGGTTCTGCGGAACACGTTTCAAGCAAGAAATGCTGGTCGAGGACTTAACTAGATGTATTGTTTTCGTAATAGTTTATATTGTATACGAAATAGTTCTTTCAACGCGGAAATAATAATTGGAACAATTAAATCATAAACAAAAAATAACTTAATAAATTAATTAACTGTACTACTTTTCTGAACTGTAAGTTCAAGTAAGTGTTGAATAAAAACAGTTGTAATTACAACTGTTTATTACAAAATTGTTTATTCGTTTAATTTGCACTTATTGCTGTTCATATTTTCGTATTTATGTTATATACTAATGTACAAAACAGTATCTATTATTACACAAAAATTTCGCTTCTGTGTTAATGAATAAAGCGTCCAATATTTTTGACAAATACTCAATAATTTGTTATTACCTTGAATCGTTTAACACTTTTCAGGTAAGTTGGTTTATGTTAGTATTTATTAAATGCGTAAGCCGTAAGCTGCTTTTTTATTAATATGATATCGGAATAGAAAAACGTTTCGCATTGAAATTGATAAGAACAAATTTTTATTCTGTGCAAAATATCTAGTATCTAATGTAAGCAATTATATCGCTTTTGATAAAATTTGTAAAGGTGCTTGAAATTCAATTGACCTACACTGAGTGATACCATGCGTTTATGTAATAATTCCGATATTCAATCAGATTCTCAATTATGCACTTAAAGTGAAAGAAAGTAGTTAGGAAGTATTTTGTGCTGTGAATTTTCGGAAAAATATTGGAAACAAATACGAGGTTGCTTCTCTAGTTACAACTAGGTGAGTTAAATAAACGATTAAAAACCAATCTCATTATGAATATCTACGTTGTAATACACGTTTTGTTTTTTATCCCTCGGGAACAGTAATTTTTTTTTGTATGAAAGGTACCGTATGCTCTTTTGTGTATTCCTAATTATGTGTGTGCAAAATTTGATGATAGATTTTACCAGCAGCTTCACTCGCGTTCCGTATATGCATTTTCGGTTATAAATAAAGCGTAGCCCTTGACATTCACAGTTCTAAACTTTTTAATTTTTTTGTCCGTATCATCAAGGGTTGAAGGTCAAAATAAAATTGCAGCGTTAATTTTAATGCAGTTGATTAAATTAATTAGGTAGTATGTAGGAGTCTTCGTAATTATTACGATTTATTTATTAGAGGCAATTAATTTAGATTTATATGGTAAAAGAAGGGCAGTGAATTTAATATTGATAGTTGATATCAATGATGAATGGTTTTTGACGTGACAACGTCTTATAATTCGATAGAGCCGGCTGCACGCACGAAAAAACATGACTCATGCGGCGTTACCTCGCTCTGAGGCGTTCCATTTAAGGCGTGAAGTGCAAGCGAGAGCGCGGAACGAGCGACAAAGAGGCGCAATCGGCCTCCGCGTTCGGCAGCGTTCGACATCTGTCTCTCTCCTACTTGAGTGAGCGATGCGTCCGCGTGGACAGCTGCTATACAATAATACATTTCCATTTACCTCCTTCTCTATATCCATACAAAATATCTATCAAACAAATAAAATTAAAATTTTCTTTTGAAAAATGAAACCATTCAATCAGTATTTTCTTATGACGTTGTCACGTTCAACTATCGTCAGTAAACCGACTTTACAGACAACCGATTTTTTTCTAGGTACTGTATATTCATTTCGGTTATAAATAAAGCGTAGCCCTTGACATTCACAGTTCTAAACTTTTTAATTTTTTTGTCCTTATCATCAAGGGTTGAAGGTCAAAATAAAATTGCAGAGTTAATTTTAATGCAGTTGATTAAATTAATTAGGTAGTATGTAGGAGTCTTCGTAATTATTACGATTTATTTATTAGAGGCAATAAATTTAGACAGTTTATATGGTAAAAGAAGGGCAGTGAATTTAATGTTGATAGTTGATATCAATGATGAATGGTTTTTTTTGATGTAATCTAGCAACTGTTAAAATGACAGTCAATGAAATTACTTAGAGTAACAGTAAAATTAAAAAACAGCCTTGATAAACGTAAAATGTCTACTTTTTAAAACGTCTGATTGTTATGTATGTCTAAGCATTATCTATAGCAAATTAAATACAGTAATTACAATCTTGCTTATCTTATTAAATCTGCACAGATATTTAAAATTGTAAGCTATTTAGTTATACAGCGGGATTAAAATATAAATTGATCGTTAACCTTTGAAAATTAAATTAATATAAATCCTGTAGTACGTTGTTTCGTTAGTTGTTTCTTTTTTCTTTTCTTTTTTAGGCGATGAGTTCGGAAAAGAAAGATTTGCCTGTATTATATGATGGGTGAGTCAAATTATTACACCCTGTACACTATCTAACACCTGAATCTTAATCTTTAAATCTGGGTAATTAAGTTGTTAGAAAATTTTATATTATCACCTAGTTTAAGTATATTTGTTTTTACTTAATTAAATCAGGAGTATTATAAACATTACAAACTTCTGTCTTTATTAATTAATTCTAGTGAAATGGCTGCATCTGAGATATGCAAGTAAGTAAAATTAGATTTCATTAAAAAAAATTGCTATTTCTACACCCGATCTTCACCCTTTTTGTTACAAAAATCAAACGAGAATGTAATTTGGGTATTATAAACATTACAAACTTCTGTCTTTATTAATTAATTCTAGTGAAATGGCTGTATCTGAGATATGCGAGTAAGTAAAATTAGATTTCATTAAAAAAATTGCTATTTCTACACCCGATCTTCACCCTCTGCCACAAAAATCAAACGAGAATGTAATTTTACGGCTATAATTTTATTTATATTGTAAGTAAATATGACCGTACTTAAGCTTTATCTTCCATAAACTGATTATTAATTGGACATAAAATGTGTTATTGTCTAAGTGTATGGACTTTAGAAGTCACGAGTTACTGAAGATAAAATTTGACCACATGATTTGTAATATATGTAGCTCCATTATTGTCTTCACATGAAGAAGAAAAATTCCTTCATGTGATTTTGTGTTATTTATTTATTTATTTGTTTATTTATTTGTATCAATTTACGAGAAGTTGTTTGGCATTTGAACGTTGTGCT